AGAACATGCTACAGATACTTAGCTATAGGTAAGTAATTTAGGCTTTCCCTTCATGATGCTGTTTCTTAAATAAAACTTAACTTTTGTTTTCTTTCATGCAAATGCAGTTTCAAAAATACTTTCATACAAAGTTGTACTCATAACCTCTGTGTGTCTCTCCATATACCACAGTGGTGGGATTCATTTTTTTAAACTATCGGTTCTGTGGGCGTGGCTTGGTAGGCGTGGTGTAGCATGGCTTGGTGGGTGTGGCAGGGGAAGGTTACTGCAAAATCCCCATTCCCTCCAGTTCAGCTGAGACTTGGGAGGCAGAGAATAGATGGGGATGTGGCCAGTCAGAGGTGGTATTTACTGCTTCTCCGAACTTCTCAAAATTTCCACTACTGAATGCCACCTCTGATATACTGTAAATCTTTTATGCTAAGCAAAACCTTCCTGACCAATATTCCATTATGTATGTATATGCAGAAATAAAGAGGATGGGGTATGTGGCTGTTTTTCATTTGTAAGAATGGGAAATAAATCATAGGTTGTCCTTGCGTCCTTGTGCCTTGATATAAGTAATTTAGATAATTCTCAAGCTTGTGAAGTTATGTATGTATTGAAGTATTAAAATTGACTGAGAAGGAGTGGGTACACAATAGTCCCTTGTTGAGTAAGCATGTCTGTACAGTCTTGTGAGGGAAGGGATAATTAGCTTCTCATGGATCCACTCATCATTGGATCCATTTTCAAACTGAAAATGGATCCAATGATGAGTGGAAACTAGGGACACAGATAACAAAAGCTCAGAATGGTGCATGGTAAATAATAATAATTGGTTACTGATTTCTTTCATCAATTTAACAGGCCATCCATCTTGCAAACATGAGTTTAATCAGCTAACATTTAGAAAAAAATCCCCCCCAAAGCATACTATACTATATAGAAGTATGCTATAACAACTAAGGAAATCAACAATCAATTCAACTAACTTCCTATCCCGTGCTTGGGAAAATAGCAAAGTTTCAATGGCTTTTCAAAAGGCCACCAGGGTCGTAGGTACCTAATGTCAAGTGCTATGGTGTTCCAGAGGGTAGCTGTTGTGAAGCCACATTTGCTATAGGTGGATGTTATTACATAGTGGAAGCAAAGACCTCAAATACCTAGTGTAGCTATCCCACCCACTATGTCATAACATCATTGCACAGATAACATGTAGTTTTTATATAGTCAAGGCGATAGCACTGATATAAATTACATAACTGATGTCAGTTGCATTATGATCTCATAATGAAAGTGACATTATTTGCACCTCTTGTTGCTCTTATCATAGACTTTCAGTATATCAAAGAGCTGTTAAAGCAGTGGGAAGCATTGGGATTTCCTGAGATTTCGTCCTATCTTGCACAATCTAAGGTAAATTAGTTAACCTCCTCCTTTATAGGAAATTATTTGAAGTGTGAATGATAGTTTTATTCAATTAATTTTAGTTTAATTTATTTTTATTTTTTTAAATTGTTCTTTCATTTTGTGGTAACTTGGTGCCATTTCAGTTTTAACTTAAAAATCGATGTTTTATGTTGTTAATTCTTGTTTTGCAGTGTTCACCTCTTTTGAAGGAAGATATGGATATAAATTGTTTAAGGAAATATTTGGGGGACCTTCCCTCTCTTCAAAGACCTATGAATAACTGTGAAGCTGCTGTTGTGTTTAATTTACCATTGATTCAAGCTAACAAGGCACTGCTTTGCTTTGCAGATTTTTTAATATAAATATTTTGATTCAGCTTTTGGTCCATGAATTACATAATTTGGCCACAAAAATACAGTTAGAGGTTTTCACTTTTTATTTTTAGCTCCAAACAAACGAATATCTCAGTTGGTGAAGACATTTTATTCACTGTATTTTGACCCACACAACCTTTCTGCATGATGTTTTATCATTATTACGTCTTTTAAAGGACATTTCATCTTCTCTCCTATAACCAATTTTTTGTAACATGAATACAAATTGTACTTGGATGTTAAAGTAAAGATATTTCAGGGATCTGCTATTCTTTTTTTTCTAGATTTTACTTTCTTTGCAACTTATTTAGGCTAAAACATCCTGATTGTTGGGGGGGGAAAACCCAAATTCCTCTTCAGCCAATAAAAATGAAGACTGTGAACCCTAGAGTTAATTATGGATATTGAAATCTTTTTCTTCAAGCACAGTGCTGAATGTGCCAAGTTTAGTGCCATCACTTATAAATAGACCTCCTACTGGATAACTAGGTTATATCTTGAAGTTTTATGCCACAAAGCATAAATTTCTCTGTCACCTGTTACTGTGTCTCAGTGTATTTAATCAGGATTCCAGGTTAACATCTCCAGAATCAGATGTGAATCTCAAAATCAAATAATTACTCAAATCTACACCCAACATTTTCTGCTTGTGCTTTAGCATAATATATACATATTTCTGCACAGTAACCTAATTCTAATATAAAATTAGGTTGGTTTTGATACCTATACATTCTTTGGATATTATATAGGAATTGCAATTAAATTTGTTAGTACTAAATGCTTGTAAATGATGTTACACATTTCGTAAAAAATGAAGAAAGAAAAATTGATTTATTTAATCAGATGCTTACCATATTGGTATTTAAATCTAATTTTCTAATCCATTTTCCTTTTTTAGGTTTGTTGGAGGAGAGCTGAATATTTGCTATAATGCTCTGGATCGCCACATTGAGAATGGACAAGGGGATCAAATTGCTATTATCTATGACAGTCCTGTAACAAATATGAAAGAGTTTATAACTTACAGTGAAGTTCTTGAACAGGTATGTATAAATATAAAAAATATAAATATAAAAAATATAAATATAAGTAATATAAATATAAATATATAATTATGAATATGAATACAAATACGAATATGAATATGAATACAAATATAAATCTAGATATTGATATTGATATCAATACTTTATTAATATTGATGTTGATATTAATATTAATATTAATATTTATATAAATCTAAATAATCTAAATAATCTAAATAATCTAAATAATCTAAATAATCTAAATAATCTAAATAATCTAAATAATCTAAATAATCTAAATAATCTAAATAATCTAAAT